TGCTACAAACAACCCCCTCCTTTTTCTAAGAAACAATAAATTGAAAGTAAGAAACAGTCTAGGAAACTGGAGAAAGCAATCTCCAAACTTAAAACATGTAGAAGGGCTAAATAACTATAACTGAATAGAGAAGTGTGCAGAAGAGTTGAGGGACCTTGGGAAACACAAATGACGAACAGCCAACGAGCAGGAGAGGCAATGAATGCATGTGGTCAGTGCCTATCAGAAGGGATTCCACAACAAGGACAAACACATCAGTGCAGAGAAGTTTCTCCAAACGAAAACCACTCAGGGCCAATTTCCAAGCATGCAACACCTTTTAAAGCCGACAACCTAGCAAATATTTGTGACAATTTTAAACTTTAAAAGCCATAAAGAAAACCTTAAAAGCTTTGAGGGAAAAACAACACATGCTATTACAGAGTCATATGAATCAAAAAAGCATCAGGCATTTTCATTAGTACGTCAGAAGAAAATGGAATATTGTTTTCAAAGTTCAAAATGTGATTTTGAGCCTTAAATTTTTACATCTTTGATAAATTATCAAATACAAAGAAAGAATAAAGTTATCTTCAGAAATTAAAGAAGTAGGAGAGTTGACTTCCTGTATGTACTCATCGGCCATGTCTTTCTAAGAAAGTATCAAGGAAGCCCAATGGGCATCACTGAGGAAAGCTGTAATGGAGGCAGAATGCCACACTGCCTCTGGTTCCTTTCAGGTCCTCATATGACATCTGACTCTTGCCCCCTCACTCCCTATGATTAAGCTGAACCTACCAGAAAATCTAAAGTATCCTTCCTATCCCAATGACTTTACCTTAATCATGTCATCAATTCTTTTTCCATTAAAGGTAAGCTTCATGAAGTAAGATGGAGACACTCGTAGTCATTAATCTGCCCACCAAACCACAGAAGAACTCAAGGATGCATCCAGGAAAAGAAAAGAAAGGGCAGGGGAGGGAGGAAGGAAGGAAAGAAGAAGTTAATTCAAGAAAAAAGGGCAAGATGAGATGCAAGAAATTATGCCCCCACAAAGGAAGAGAGCTATAAAGAAATGGGTTCTTTAATTTGACCTGATGGTAGAATTTCCCTGAGGCAGGAGCATAGCTTTAAAGAAAGAGAATGGTATTTTTCCCTACTAGTCCAGTTAGGATACTTGGTTCCACAGTGACAGAAGTTTATACAAGCAAATATAGTGAATGGGTAATAATCCTCACATGTTCAGAAACCAGGGCCAAAATCTTGAGACATGAACATGCCTAGCTCTGCACTCTAGCAAATTCTGGATCCTTATCCCAGCAGTACACTTACATATGTAACACATTCCATTTTTCCATATGTGCTGTCCACAGGGAACTAAAACTGTCTGACAGGAGACAAGTGAGAAGCACAGGCACAGCTACACGCTTTAATAATTCTTACCTGAATTTCATATAAATATGAAATATGCTAGGACATTTTTAAAAATAGTAAGTTGAAAATACAAAACCATATGAAACATATTTCATATATATGAAAGGGTAATTAAAATAGATTATGAAATAGATGTATATTATTAACTAATGACTTGCAGGATTACATAATATGTTCAGTGTTCATTTTCAATTTTACTTTTAATACCTAAAAAACAGATAAAAACCTATCATAAATGAAAGTTTTTAAAAAGGTGTATTCGGATCAACTAGAGCTAAAATAAAAGATGAAGCATACTTTCTGGAGAACATGTATATAACTTACTTAGTATATAAGAATAGAATATAAGACTGCCATTGTGAGGCCAGCAAAATGGTCAGCCAGTAAAAGTACTCGCCACACAAGCTTCACAGCCTGAGTCTGATCCCAGAACCCACATAAAACACCAGAATGGTGGGGTGCATCTGTAATCCCAGAACTCCCACTGCAAGATAGAAGGCAGAAACAAGAAAATCCTCCGGAGTTGCAAACCAGCTAGCCTGAAGTATGTAGCAACGTAGTGCAAAAAAAAAAAAGGAGACTCTGCCTCAACTACAAGGTGGAAGGGACCCAAGTCCCAAGTCCTTTGACCTCCATACCCATGGCATATGTGTGCCTGCACACACACACACACACACACACACACACACACACACACACACGTCCACATGCACACACATGGTAATAGTAAATACAAATTAAAAGAAAAAAATGGATGCCATGGAGTGGACCTGGGAGGTGGCTCAGTGATAGAGCACCAGGCCTAGAATACACAAGGCCCTAGGTTCAAACCCTCAGTCCCAGGGGGAAAAAAATCCCATTGTACTTTGATTGTAATAACTGGAAAAGGGGCACGAACCTAAATATATGAAAAATCATATGGAAACCTATCACTATAGAAGCTTCCTAAAATATATACATATGTAAAAGTAATTTAAATAGTTACTATATAATGGGGGAGGCAATACCCCAACTAGACATCTTCTGCCACCTACAGTTCTGGGAATGGGTAACATCTTGTTGAGTAGTTGGCCAAAGATGTCCCGCAGACAGAAATAACACACACACACACTCCTGCAAACATCACAGGCTATTGCCAAGAATACCGGTTGCTCTCCATTACATGATGGTAAGGCCCTGTTGCCAAAGACAACACTTACTCGTATCACTGAACATGGAGAAATCAAGCTGATACCAACTAGACATTTCACCCCTCCTGACTAGTGTTCACAGTGCTGGAAACTACCAGAAACATACTTTGCACACTACCAGAGAAGAAAAGTAATCATCAGTTTCACCCAGCTATAAATCCCGACACCTACTCCTTCCTGAAGCTATACTGGTGCGATAGAGGCATAAATGTTATGGCAGTTACCAACCACTTTTTGATTGGATTTAAGGCCCACTCCATGAGATGGAACCCATACCTGACCCTGATAAAATGGCCAAGAACCTAGACCATACAGGTCATAGACCTAGAGAAAAACCTAATTCTATTATTCTGCTAAAGGAATGAACCAATATAATAGCTCCTAATGATGCATTTCTATACCTACAGATCAATGCATCACTCAACCCTCGTCAGAGCTTCTTCCTGCAGTAGATGGAAACTAGCACAGGGATCCACAATTGGGCAATGTGCAGAGTGAGACTTTGGAGCACTCAGCCACAAATGGGGTGTCTCCATCAAACCCCTCCCCTTGGACTCAGGGATCAACACAGAAGAGGCAGAAAGATTCTAAGAGCCATGAGTGATAGACGACTCCAGGGAACAGCATCTTCCAGACACAACAGGATGCATACACATATAAATGCAAAAAGATCCTGCACCAGTTGAAACCAGACAAAATCCCAGCACTGAGAAGGGGGAGTGGACACAAAGTCCCACCCTTCGCCAAGAAGCTATCTTCAACTGACACCTGTTGCAAAACAGAAACTCAATTTTCTTCAGTGGAGTGCCATGGGGTCCATCAACCACACTCCAAGGCCAGGAGTGGCTAGGCAACACGGAATAGACTCCATGTTTTTGTGTGCTTTTTGTTTTGGTTCAGGTTTTTTGCTTTTGCTTCTTTGGGTTTTGTTTTTGTCTTAATTGGTTTTAATTTTTAGTTCACGGTCTCTTTTGGTTTTGGCTGTTTTGTTTTCCTGTTTTTGTTTTTTCACAGGGAACACGAAGTTGGGTAGGTAGGGAGATAAGGAGGATCTGGGAGGACTTGGGGGAGGGGAAAGAATATGATCAAAATTGCTTTTAAAAATTTTTTCATAAAAAGTAACTAAGAAAAAATCCCAATGCCACTGTAGTGGGCCAGGGAGGTCCGTGGCAGAGCACCAGCCTAGAATGTATGAGGCCCCATACTCAACCCCACAGTCCCAGGAAAAAATAAATCCCATTGTCCTTTAATTGGAGTAAGTGGGAAAGGGGGAACCATCCTAAAGATTCACTCAAAAGAAAAGTGCTCAACCATGAAAGCAGCAGCTGCAGAATGGGGTATAGGGCTGGAGAGATGGCTCAGCAGTTGAGAGAAAGGTCTGCCTTTGCAGAGGACCTAAGTTCTGTTCCCAGAGTCAACATGGCAGCTCACAACTGCATGCAACTCCAATTCTAGGGATCTGGCCTCCTCAGGCTTCTGCATACACATGGTGATATAAATTCATGCAAACACACATATAAATAAAATATAAATCTTAAAAAAAGAGAAAAAAGGGGCTGGAGAGATGGCTCAGAGGTTAAGAGCACCGACTACTCTTCCAGAGGTCCTGAGTTTAATTCCCAGCACCCACATGGTGGCTCACAACCATCTGTAATGAGATCTGGCACCCTTTTCTGTATACATAATAAATAAATAAATCTTTAAAAAGAAAAAAAAGAATGATGGCTATCACAAAAATATGCATACACATGTGGGCTTAATTTGTATATGAAGAGATGAAAAGCTGAATGAATACATACAAAACTATCCTCCAGTTAATCCTATGATATAAAAGGGAGAATGGACAATCCCTCAGTCTTACATTATACACATATTCTATTCAAATTCTGCTCCAAAGGACTAACACTACTTTTAGGGTATCTTTTAACTTTTTTTAAATTGAGTTAATAAGTTGAAACTTATTTCTGCCTGGACCAGGCAGGCATTGGAGCACATGTTTGTACTCTTGGGACCTTGGTAGATGAAGCAAAAGGATTCTGAGCTAGCTTGGGCTACAAAGTTAAGTTGTAAGGATGCCTGGGATTAATGCTATGGGTCTAACCTCAAAAAAAAGAGTTAAACCCAGAATATTACTACCACAGATATGGACTATGCAGTAAACTTTTATTTTAAAAAATGACCTCTGAGAAAAACATGAAAGCGCATCATGGGATACATGACCAACATTTAATTGCAACATCACAGTTACTAGATGAAGCAGTACCAATGGCAGCATTTTCAGTCCCTTAAAAAACGTGCAACCAACTGAAGCTAGACTATACAGCTTCAGGCCACAAGGCTTCATCACTGCCTTAAAAACATGGCAATGCATTAGTATTCCTATTGATGAACACCTACCGAATCGTTCGCGGCCAGTGCGAGAGCAAGGTTCACTGAAAGAAACAGAGAGAATTCAGGTTAGTCACTTTCCTTCTGTGGAAATTCACTCACCTTTCAACATTTCCCTCGCTTGCAAAAGACCAAGGATGAGGAGAGAATGACAGAGACAGAAGACCAGAAGAAATCAGTTCAGCAGCTGCCAACAGACGCCTGTCCCACACTGCCCATTTTAAATAGCTCCCTTATAGTCTGTTACAACCTTGTTCAAATTCGGCACTTAGCTTTTCTTAAAGCAATGTTAATGGAATAGGTAGTTTCAAATTTTATTTTAAATAATTAACTGTTTGATAACTAATAGATATAGTCTTTTTATTTTTCTTTCTTTCTTTTTTTTCTTTCTTCCTTTCTTTATTTATTTTGGTTTTTTGAGACAGGGTTTCTCTATGTAGTTTTGGTGCCTGTCCTGGATCTCGCTCTGTAGCCCAGGCTGGCCTCGAACTCACAGAGATCTGCCTGGCTCTGCCTCCCGAGTGCTGGGATTATTAAAGGCGTGCACCACCACCGTCTGGGGCCTTTTTTTTTTTTCTAATAAATGCTGTTATAGGCATCTGAGTACCGAACTCACACATACACAAGTATTCAAAAAGCTGGGGCACTGTTCACAGAAGGAAGTGAGAAAGATAATGGTAAGGTAGTATGGTAGTCAAAATGCCGATGCCCGTGATTCTAGAGACAAAAAGGTGGAAGTGGTGTCCTCAAAAGCACAGTTAGCCAGCTCTGCAGCCGGGCTACAGCTGAGAAGAGAGAGCCCAAAGTACTATAAATTACGAGACTGATAGAAAAAAAAAAAATAGGTTCTCTAGCCAGGCGGGGGTGGTGCACACCTTTAATCCCAGCACTTGGGAGGCAGAGGCAGGTGGATCTCTGTGAGTCTGAGGCCAGCCTGGTCTACAAAGTAAGTTCCAGAACAGTCAGGACTGTTACACAGAAAAACCTTGTCTCAAAGAACCAACATACATACATACATACATACATATATACATACATACATATGTAAATGAAGAAATGAATAAATAAATAAATAAATAGGTTCTCATACTGCCCATTTTCCACAATGTGAATGCCATTTCCTTGCAGAACTATGCTGTCACTTCTATAAGGAAAGTGGTTGGAAGTATAAACTGCAAAGCAGACCTGAACCTGCCACCTCCTTCCATTGTATAACCCTGACTGCTATTTTATGTCAGTCTGCTCCCTGAGTTATAACATAAAGGGACCTCCTCCTTTGATAACTGCTGTGAGGATAAAAGAATACTGTATACAAAGTACTTCATCTAGGGTATGGTACTTATAAATCCACTCTTCTGTGTAACAGGATAATTCTAATTCCAGATACATAATAGGTTAAGCATCATCTAACTCTTAAGCAGAAACTTTCTTGGGGGCGGGGGGGGGGGGGGGGGACGACGGGACTCCTCAGGCTGCTGAGGGTGACAGCACAGAGCTGTGTGTCCCTGGAACCTTCACAATACATAATATTTACCTGCCAATATAGCTCAATGAGACTGAAGAAAATAAATGACTGCTAACGGGTAGGACTGCAAGAATGTCTCATAATGTCTTATAATCGCTTTAGAAATAAACAATTCCTTTTGGAAATAACTGTTATAAGTCTTGAGTGTAAATTCTATTTTAGAACTCATAATCTTTAGTGCTAAAACACCATCTTTGTGACAAATCTACAATCACCAAAAAGGGCCAGGGAAAGGACTCTCCATCACTACCACATTAATCCAGAAGATATGAAGACTAAATGGCTAGGTGGGGTGAGGGCTCGAAACAGGTGAACTACCCACCATGCAAGCACAAGGACCTGAGTGTAACCACAGCACCGGGAAGGACATGGGAAGAGACAGACAGCTCCTGAGAGCTCAGTGGCCAGTCAGACATTGAAAAAGAGCAATAAAGACACCCGATGTTACCCTCTGCCCTCCACACACATGCACCTGAACATAGGAACACACACACACACACACACACACACACACACACACACATACACACACACACACCAAAACACTAGATGGATAAAAAAACTAAAACAATGTTAAATCTCTTCAAGCATTCTCAAAGATTCTTAGCTTTTGGTGACTTTATAAATGGTACAAATGTTGTGATTAAATGAAAAAACGGGTCACAATAGCAAACATTCTCGTTGCAAATATACAACTATATGTACACTGATAGACTGGAAAAGAACAAGAATAATGTAATATACAATGACTAGTGTTTTAAAAGTAACAGCAACCAATTACTGAGAACCTCTATGAAAAGACAATGGGCTAAGTGATTAATTTAATTTGCATATCATCCTATGAAAGAGATTATCTCCACTTCCTAGTTAAGTGAACAGAATACCTGTAGACAACCTAACTACTTCTCACTGAATTGAGTAGACAATCTGGTAACGTGTTTACTTCAGCTCCCACCCATTATCAAACCCTAAGATAGAGAACCACAAGTTAGAAACGTCACAAATACCGAACTGAAACGTGATCATTTACAGTGCACTTGACAGCTGGCACAACTTCTTAATCAGGAGGGACATGAACGCCTTACAATACCTGCAGTGGTAGACTTTCCAACTCCACCCTTTCCAGAGGCCACAACAATAACTTCTCTAACACCTTCTATGGGCTTCTGCTTAGGAAGTCCTCGGGACATGATTTGTGTTCTTCTTTGTTTCAAGGCCTCACCCTCAGCGCCTAATAACTTTAAAAAAAAAAAAAGTGATTTAAATCAATCATCCTCATTACTGGATTAGTGTGCTGTAAAAGTGAAAACGATCCAGAGTTTGAGTATAACAGGGTTTTCTTTTCTAATTCTGTTCATCGCCACTAATTTAGCCTTTAGGTGCTATTTATCGACTGCCAATCTCAACTGCAAAGATAAATTGTTGGAGCTGAAATTTGTCTGCCAGGGTAAGCGAGGTTGTTAAAAACGCAAAGTGGCCTTTTTACCGAGGTAAGCCCTCCGTGCATTTTCCTTCTCGTTAACCTATTCACTAAATAACCCCACGCCAAGAGAGCAAGGTGCACCCCATACATCCCTCATGCTCAGGAGAGTTTGGGGACCACAAGCTCCAGACTCCTTCTAGGGGACCCGCTAGCGGGAGCTCGCAGGCGCCGGCGATCAGGCTCGCACCATCCCCTCCCGCGCTCGCCACACACCTGGCGCCCACAACTCAAGGCTCGGCGCCCCAGAGACGGGACAGCGGCCCCGCAAACACCCCGAAGTGACACTCTGCCAAAAAGCAATAAACGCCGCCAGGTCCCCATGGCGCGCGGCTCTTCCCGGGACCAGGGAGGAAGCACTTTGCGCCGGGCGCGGAGTAATGACGTCACGTGGCAACCCGTGGCTTCCCCTGCCTGGAGACGAGCCTGATTGGTGTTTCTTCAGCTCAGGAACCCCTTTTGCTTTAATTCTGAGGGTCACGAACTACAAACACTTCTGCGACGTTGGACCAGACATTTCTGAAGACTTTTCACACGTAACATTTCATTTTATCCTTCCAGAGTAGACAAGGAGACTTCAGAAATTTTTGTTTTGAAGTTTGGAGGGTGGCTTTATGCTGGGGATGAACCCAGGGCCTCCTTCACACTAGGCAAGCACACTACCAAAGTGTACATCGCCAATCCTTCTCTTGTCACTAATTTAAAATTTGAGATTTAGAAAGTTTAATAAGATTGACTCCCATCTTAGCAGAAATTTAAAATGCTAGAACTTGAAGATTTCATTTTCCTTACTGCATAGTACTGTATTTCATTTCCTTACTGCATAGTACGTCATTTAAATGCCTCTACTGTTAAAGATTTTTACAACACATAGTACTGTATATGGTCGCTTCAACACTGCCACTGTTAAGATGCTTACATCACACGTATACTGCGTGTGACCTACAGTAATACTCTGCCCTAAGCTCGTCACCGCTTGTGTTGCTGATGGTTCACAAGAGAACTGAGGATGCTTTACTAGGTTCAAAAATTTTAGCTAAATCAGAAAATAGGGCCAATAAAGAAGCCTCTTGAGAAGGAGCTTAAGGCTAGTAGTAAAGCGTTTGTGTAGCATATATGAGGCCCTGGTCCAATCATCTGCAAGGGGAATGGAGTGAAACCAGAGCTGGAGGGAGGGAGGGCATGGAATTTATCCGGGTGGAAGTAAGACTGTGTACATATAGATTTAGATACGCATCAGTATTCCCAAGGCAGATAAAAGAGCAAAAGCAATTACTTTAAGAAAAATAGCTCACAAGCTTATCCGGAAGCCAGACCCAGCCAAAGACGGCCGGAGGTATGGTTTCAGTTTGCCTTTGATCATCTTCGGAAGAATTTGTAGGGAGGGCTTTTATTTCTTCCATTTGCTTCTTATTTGTATTTGTCATATCAAAGATTCAAAATCAGTTTATTTTTCTCTGATTTAATTCTTACTCTTCATATCTTTATTATAGGCATAACAACATCAAAGAATTACCATAAGGATTAAATATTACTAGTCACGTGCCCTCGGTTCTTAAGCTCTGAGAAAGCCTTCAGCTTCTTGTTTACTCCTCTCAAGCTCATATCCTTACTGTTTCATTCCTTTCTTCTACTGTACACGAGGCTTGACATTTTCAGCTTGTCTTCTCTCACATATTCTTTCGAGGAGTATTTTCTCATGTAATTTTAATTTTAGATTTATTTCCAGCTCAGTTTTTATAAATGATAAGCAAACAGCACAGTTAAAAAGAGACACTATAAGAAGACTTCTGCCAAGCAGACCCAGGCCACACGAGCTAGAATGGGTGAGTAACCTGCCTGCCAGCAGAACTATATCCCTCCCCACATTCTGTCCCCCATAACCCTTCTTCTGACCCACACCATTCCAGCTCGTCCCCAGCCCTGCTGCTGGAGCCCTGACCTCAACCACGGCAGACTTCTGTCACTGAGGCCCAGTCCACACCAGCCAGAATGGATGAGTGACCCACCTGCCAGCAGAACTGTACCACTCCCCAGAGTTTGTCCCCCAGAACCCTTCCCCAGGCCCATGCCATCCCAGCCCATCCCTGGCCCCTCTGCTGGGCTCTGAGCCCCACCCTGGAAGACTTCCACCAAGCAGGCCCATGCCACACAAGTCAGAACCGGTGAGTAACCCACATGCGGGGGAACTGTACCCCTCCCTGGATTCTATCCCCATGACAGTTCCACAGGCCAACACCATCCCAGCTCAACCTTGGCTCTGTTGCGGCTGGTCCCTACCCCTAACCCCAGCAAACTTCTGCCACTGAGGTACAGACCACTCTAGCCACAACGGGTGAGTGACCCTCCTGTCCTGTGGCCCTCCCACTCCGATCTCAGCACCAACACCACTGGGTGCCTGCCCCCAACTCTGGAAGAATCCCACTGCTCTGATGCAGCCCTCTCCAGTCAACGAGTAGGTGAGTGATGCCACCACCCCACCTCCGCCAGCTGGACTGCTGCCACCCCAAGACCCACACTGAAGCCCAACCCCTCTCACCTCTTCATATCCACGCACCCCCCAAGTCAGTCCTTCCCCAAAATCCTGGCAGACTCCATAGGCCCAGACACAGTTCACACCAGTCAGAACAGCTCCAGCAGCTCTACAGGAGACCAGGCTGGTCCTAGGTACCACAGAAGAAGATTCAGGCTTTACTGGAGACCAGACTGGATTTAGAGACCCAAGGAAACTATGGGTTTACCAGAGGCCAGACCAGATCAAGGAACCTAAGGCCCCAAAAGCCCCTGCGGAGACACCCTACTACTGTACCTGGGGACTCACCAGTCACTAGCGCCCTTGGCCACTTAGGCCAGAAGACCAGAGAGGAAACAGAAGCCAAGGAGCAAAACACCCATCCAACAAAGGCAAACATGGGAATCAACACCTAGACCTGTAATCACCCTAAATCCAGATGCCTAAATGCCAGTGTAAGAACATAATCAATAACAGAAAGGGCAATATGGAACCGCCAGAACCCAGCTACCCTATGACAGCAAGACCTGAACATATTGACACAGCTGAAACATAAGAAAACAACCTTAAAAATAACTTCATGAAGATGATAGAGGTCCTTAAAGAGGAAATGATAAATTCCCTTAAAATTTTGAGGAAAAGACAAACAAAAAATTGGAAGAAATCAATCAATTAATCCCTTAAAGAAAGCCAAGAAACCCAAGAAAAACAACCAGGTGAAGGAAACAGTTTAAGACTTGAAAATTGAAATAGAGGCAATAAAGAAAACATAAGCCAAGGGAATTCTGGAAATGGAAAATCTAGGTAAATGAACAGGAACTACAGATGCAAGCATAACCAACAGAATACAAGAAATGGAAGAGAGAATCCCAGGTGTTGAAGTTACAAATAGAGGAAATAAATTTATCAATCAAATAAAATGTTAAATCCAACAAATTTTTAACACAAAACATTCAGGAAATCCGGAATACTATGAAAAGACCAAATCTAAGAATAATTGGAATAGAAGAAGGAGAAGAATCCCTGCTCAAAGGCCCAGAAAATATACTCAACAAATCATATAAGAAAAATTTCCCAACCTAAAGAAGGATATGCTTATAAAGGTACAAGAATAATACAGCAAATAGACTGGACCAGAAAAAAAAGTCCCCTCATCACATAAGAATCAAAACACTAAACATACAGAATAAAGAAAGAATATTGAAAAGCTGCAAAGGAAAAAGGCCAAGTAACATATAAAGGTAGACCTATCAGAATTACACCTGACTTCTTAATGGAGACTCTAAAAGCCAAAAGAACCTGGACAGACCTCTTGCAGACTCCAAGAGACCACAGATGCCAGCCCAGACTACTATACCCAGCAAAACTTTCAATCACTGTAGATGCAGAAAACATGACATGATAAAGTCAAATTTAATCAATATCTATCCACAAATCCATCCCTACAGAAGGTACTAGAAAGAAAACTCCCACCCAAGGAAGCTAGCTAAACCCACAAAAACATAGGCAATAGAAAGCTATACCCATGAAAACACAGGCAATAGATAATCCCACACCAGCAAAACCCAAAGGGAAACACACACACAAATACATACCACCACCACCACCACCAAGAACAACAATAACAACAAAAACAGGAATTAACAGTCACTGGTCATTAATGCCTCTCAATATCAATGGAATCAATTCATCAATAAAAATACATAGGATAAAAGAATGGATATGAAAACAGGATCCATCCTTCTGGGGCATACAAAGAAAACACCTCACTGTCAAAGATAGACATTACCTCAGAGTAAAGGATTGGAAAAAAAGCAAGCTGGTGTAGCTATCCTAATATCTAACAAAATAGACTTCCAACTAAAATTAATCAAAAGAGATGGAGAAGGACATTTCATATTTATCAAAGGGCAAATCCACCAAGATGATGTCTCAATTCTCAACATCTATGCCCCAAATACAAGGGCACTCACATTTGTAAAAGAAACATTACTAAAGCTTAAATCACATATTGAATTCCACACATTAATCCTGGGAGACTTCAACACCCAACTCTCACCAATGGACAGGTTGTACAAACAGAAACTAAACAGAGAAATAATGGGACTAACATGTTATGACTCAAATAGACTTAACAGACATCTATAGAACACTTCGTCCAAACACCAAAGAATATACCTTCTTCTCAGCACCTCATGGAACCTTTTCCAAAATTGACCACATACTCAGTCACAAAGCAACTCTTAATAGATACAGAAAGAATTGAAATAACCCCCTGTATCTATAGATTAAAGCTGGAGTTCAACAACAACACAAACTACAGAAAGCCTACAATCTCATTGTCTTAGTTAGGGCTTACTATTGCTGTGAAGAGGCACCATGACCACGGAAACTCTTATAAAGAAAATATTTAATTGAGGAGCTCTCTTATAGTTTCAGAGGTCGAGTCCATTATGATCATGAAGGGGAGCATGGTGGCATGCAGGCAGATGTGGTACTGGAGCTGAGAATCCTACATCTTGACTAAGAGGCAACAGGAAGTCAACTGACTGTCACACTGAGTGAAGCTTGAGAAAAAGATCTCAGAGCCCACCCCCACAGTGACACAGTTCCAACAGAAGGTGTGGCTTAGATTAAAGGTGTGCCCTCCAGCCTCAAGGTCTGGATTAAAGGTCTGTGTCATCCAGCCTCCTCCAACAAGACCACACTTCCTCCAACAAGTCCACACCTCCTAATAGTGCCACTCCCTATGAGCATATGTGGGGCAAATACATTCAAATTACCACATTTGTGGAAACTGAACAACTCTCAACTGCATTACCACTGAGTAGAGGAAGAAATAAGAAAT